TTTTCTTTTTTCTGGAGCGGAAGACAATTCTTTTCAAAATATGCTTTATCTTCTTGTACTAACACAGCAAATGCTTTAATCATGACATATTCACCTTCATCATCCACAAGCAAAATCTTAAGACCATGCAGTAGTCACAAGGACAAGCTTTGGTTTCAATGTCTCATCTCTCTGTTCTCTCCCTAATCAATGGGAAAAGATATGCTCCTTTAAAAACAGAGCAGGCAGCATCTAGCCTAGGTATGTGCAAGTGGCTCAATGCATTAGAAAGAAATTAATTTCTGTTTTCTCTATTTAAAGAAGTCTCCTTTTATCCACTGGCTACAGAGGAAGCCTAGAGAGAGTGTCTCATTAGGCAATTAACTTAACCTAAGTCTGATTAGGCAACTTAGTATTATTCCAGAGCAAAATTTTTAAAAGTATCAATACAAATCTGACATTTGCTACAAGGAACTCACTTGTCTTTTTGTTGATACCATGCATCTTTCAAGACTGATGGCTGAACTGAACTCCCCTGGTGTCTCCCATGCCTTAGCTCCTGGATGCCAGCCAGCGTGTGTATTACAGATGAGACCGGGGTGAAGATGCTAACGGCACACTGCATCACAGCTGCGACTCAACAGAAACATTCTCACTCAAGTGTGTTCCTGAACCTGGAAATAACTCTTCTGGCTGCTGCTGCAAGCTCCACTAGCATGTACACCACGTTGTCTTCACCACAAGCACCAAAGAACTGCATCCAGTGAAAGAAGCTAGCAAAACCAGCGAGTCCGGTAAGAAATCTCAAGAGGCCAGTGGAAGCCAGTTTCTGAATATACTAGAAGGATAAAAAGCCCAGAATCATGGGTAGGGACCAGATCACAAGGTCAAATCTGCACAGAGTGTGCAGTATCCATCTCCAGAAATTACACAGCACCTGGGTGCTGCATAGGATTCCTTTTCCTCCAGGTATCCTTTCTCAAAGCCTTCTGCAGAGAAGCATCCATATTATCTGATGGCAAAGGAAGAAAGGTTTACGAGCACGTCTTCTTGCACTTACCACTGTCAGAATGCCTTTTATTGCTACACTCCTGCTCTGCTGTCGACACAGCAATAGAAAACAAATGTTTAGCAAAGTATCAAGAGGAGACAGGAGAGCAAACCAACTCCCATTCAGCTCAAACAATAGTTTTAGCACTAAAATTTATCACAAAGCCCCAGTCACTGCCTCTGTTTGATCACCCAGACAAATCAGGGTTCTGAGCTACGTTTCTGGCCATCTGCTCCATTACAGTCTCCGTCAACATATGGGGAAAAGTGAAAACCCCAACTTACTGAAAGCAGTTTGGTCCAAATACAGTGGCAAGATTGCCAAGGTTCATCCTGTTCTCTACATGATGTTCAGCAACCTTTATCAGGAACTGGCACAGATACTTCAGCAGGCAGTAATGAGCATCAGGCAGTTCTCTAAGGAGTTCTTTCAAGTCACTTTCCTTCTGCATGTCGTTTCTAGTATCTAGGAAAAACAAGAGGAGAAAAAACATATGTATATATATGGTTTTTTACATTTCTGCCAATTTACTTACATGGGTGAGCAAGCAGGGGGATCTAAAATTTAGTCTTATTTCTATTCAGAGACATAGTCCTCCAAATCCCTCAATTTTCCTCTACACCTTTTTCCTGAGGTTCACCTTGGCCACCACTGGCACTGTTTTAATGCTCACTTTTACACTGCAACTGTTTTCCTCAGCAGAATCAGCAGTCCTCAGAGCTAACGACATTGGAGCATGTTTATTCCCATCTGGTACGTAGCTGTATCTGCTTTAACTTTAGCTCTACCACATGCCCTGCTTCTATGCATCTTCTGGATGTTACTTCTGCTTCCTAAACTCAATCTCATACTCTGTTTTAGTTTCCTCTCCCATGAAAACATTCAGAAAGAAGCAAGCAAAAACAGTAAAACAAGAAGGCTCCCAAAACGTAGGTGTTGCTACAACAGTAGTATGTTGTTAGAATAACTGTACTACAGTACTTTCTGTGGGTACATTTTATGACAAGCTCAATTTTGTATCTTTTGTCAGACTGTCAACTTCAAACTTGGTCTTAGATGAGGAGTTCTGCTTACAGAAAAAAGGCTGTTAAGGGCACTGTTATACTCCATAACGAGCCAAAACTTGGCCTAATGTTAGAGAACAACCTTGTTACACTGTACAATCTTCTAGAATTTAAGTATGGATAAAAGTTTCCCATACTAAGCCAGTTAATGTCCAAGTATGAATAAGGTCAATTTTCTTTCATGTGGGTTTTGTTTTGGTTTTTGGTTTGTTTGTTTTTGGGTAATTTATGTTGTGGGCTTTTTTTTTTTTTTTAAGCAAAAATTGCATGAACTTCACAGGTATTGTGTTTAAACAGACCCAGGCAGCAAACACAAGTTTGGCCTCACATACAGCTTCTACGTAAGTATAGCAGTCTGTATAAAAACATCTGAAAGCGACTCCTGATAACTCAACCATTAAGTTGCAGTGTGATTTCTATTTTCCAATCAGACATTTTTGTAGCCAATAAACAGGATTTATCCCACATATAGTTTGGCAAACAAGTCAGTTTTGTATGTATGTACTTGCCATTTCATACAGTTGAACTTGCAGGATTTCATCTGCTTCCAAGCTTAGGTCTCCTGCCTTAAATGACATGCACAATGCATGGTGAGAGAAGCCGTTTTAAGTTTTATACCCATGGAGAATTCAATTTTGTCTGTTTTGGTACCACAGACTTAGTATGAATCCTTTCATGACAGCAGGCCAAAGTCTAAAATGTCAGTCAAATTACAGAACCAAACCTTTCAACCAACTGATTAATTATATGCTTTTCTTCTACAGCTAACAAATGAGCTCCTTCAGAAAAGTCTAACATCAAATATGCATGAAGCAGATGCGCAAAAAACTTATTTGCTTATTTATCGCAAGTATTTTTTAAAAAATATTTTAGAGCTATACAGAATAAAAGCGATCATGACTGCTACTATGAATCTGCTTGGTAACAGTAAGAAATCTGATTTATTATTTTTATTTCTGCAGCAAAATTTCAGGATGCTTCTGAAGGCTGTATTAAACAGAGTAACAATAAGGAATTTAATCGGATTTGTGTTTGCACTGATCGAAGTGGACTGGACAGTCTCTGACTTGATTACTAATTGTCTTCTCATGAAGCTTAAAGAAAAACAAAACATATTTCCACATAGCCAGAACATTAACATTCACCTCCTAACACACTTCTCTTCAGACAACAAAACAACCAGCACAATTGCTTGGAGTTATGATAAGGAAAGCCAGAGCCACCTATCAGAAAAAACGCACCTCTTCCACCACCATCATCCCATCACCTAATTAGGGAATGCCCTTGAGAACCAATTGCCTCACTGAGCCTCCCACTGGGGCTTTAGACTGACAGGTACTTTTTCATTTACAGAAAGATTTTCTGTCCCTTCCAAACTAGAAAGATGCTAATAACTGCCACAAAATATTCTGAACACAGGTTTGCACTCTGACAACAAACAAAGCTACTGGCCTCATGGCACCAGTTGTATTCGGTGGGTAGGATGTCCCTATTCATTAACCGTGAGATATTATGCAGTGCAGATCAACATCAGAGATGCTTATCACTGGGCACAGCCAAACCTTTGTTCATTTCTGTACTTTCGAAACAGAGACAGATATCAGACTGCAAGATCTTGAGAAATTACCCTAATTGAAGGACACAGAGACACTGAACAACATGAGGCAACAAACCCCATTTACTGAGCCACGAAATTCCTCGTCCTTGTGAAATCGGAGAAAGAAAATACAGGTTTCCTCTCTCCTCGTTTTCCTGTGAAAAACCAAGGGAAAGAACTCAAACCTTTCTCCCAAGACAATTCAAAAATCAAAACTCATTTGTTAATTCTCTTGTTGCTGGCACTTTTTTTTTTTAAATGGATTTCAGCTTTACCTTTAAAAATAACTATTACAATTTGTGGTCAGTTTAAGAAGTGACACACATAAACAGCATTCCAGGCACTTTGTACATTTTCCAGGACCTCTGCTGTCCATGACCATTACTTCAAATTAAGTATCTTATCAACTTAGAGAGCAAAAAGTCTTGAGTCACAACAACCAACTGCTTGGAGTATTCCTCCTCCTTTTGTCCACCTGCTAGACAATTTTTCAGTCTGCTTCAAAATCAATCACTAAGGTTTACTCAGCTGGTACTGACCACCCGAGACACGTTAGTGCACCAGAGCTGTTCATGCTTCCACGGAGACAGGAATCATGTGTAGCAAAGCCCTAAGCCTATGTAGATGCCCCATTCTGTGAAGCACAAGCTGTCCTGTGGAAGTCAAGACTACCAAGTGTAGTCTTTCTTATTCAGTCAGACTGAAGAGGGTGGCACGAAGCTAAGCATATGCTTCGGTCCCTGAAGCATCCCAAGAGAAGACAAATGAGCTTGTCGACAATGGAAACAGCAGAATGCCAGATTCCCAAAGGCAACTCAGAAACCTATATTCAAGATGTATTTCCAGATATGCCCAGCTACCAACACACTTGTGATTTTCAAGCACAGTACATGAAGCTCTTTTGAAAATTTTACCCAATACAGTAGAGGAGAAAGGAGTAAAAGAAGAATGAAGGCTAAGGGGAAGGTGCACTCAAGGCAGAGTCAAAGGCATTCACTTCTTTATTTTGGGAGCCTGCCAGAAGCCATGTGAAGCTGACAGCACCCCAGCAGAGGTCTGCAAGAGAAGCCTAGCTAGATGAGAGCCAGGCAGGACTTGAAACCAGGGATGAGATAGTGCTTTCTGGTCTGAGGAAGCGAACAAAACCAGCAGCCTCAGGCCACTTCTAGGCTCAGCAGCTGGAGGACACAGTGTGACACAGGCAGAGAGTCAAGGAAAGCAGAAAGGGCAGTGTGGCACCTCAGAACTGAGCTAGGCACTTAGTACTGAGGGACAAACCAAGGAGACAACTGAAAAGGACAGGCAGTCTCTCTAAAAATGTTAATTAACTAGAAACAGGAGCCTCAACAGTGTAGGAGGTACAGACACATTTACAAGGGTGTTTTCAGTCTTATTTAATTTCAGTATACACCCACAGATCACAACAAGAGGGACATATTTTCCAATGGTTCATCCTATTTCAGAACATATTGAGTTTCTTTGACATGCTATAGACATGATCTAATTCCCTAATTCCTCTTCATGCTACTCTTTCAAACATCACTGAAGGTATGGATGCAGACAGGTATGTTTTCATCATGTCCCAAACAACTCCAGCCTGGAAGCACTGAAACCATAGCAGCACAGTGCCATGCCCTAGCCAATTATCTCTTCTGCGAGGTGAGGAAGGGAGCCCAAGGCTCAGTGTCAGGCTGCCATGTCTGCATAGCTTTCAGCTGCCTCGCATACCACCAGCTTGGAGAGCGGACAGAAAAGCTTGCATCTGTCTGTAGATATCAACGTGCCCTAATCTCCGGCACATTGGCAGCAGGTTGTACACTGCGGTACCATTGAGCCTACCGGGCTACTGGAGGAATCACAGCATTTCTTTCCACCTCCACAATCTATGGGAAGTAGTACTCCAGCCTCTCTCCGCCAAGAATCAGTCTGCATCAGACACGATCCTGCCCCAGAGAAGGCAAAAAATAATCATGCCTTGTTACCATCAGTAGCAGACATGCTGGAAGTCCTCATCATAAGAAGGTTGTCAGCACAATCTAACTTGACACCCCCCACTCTGCATCATTATGCAGAGCACACTGCAGAGCTGTATTTATGCTTCATTTCGACATATTGGGATCAGAGCACTCTCAACTTCTTTTCCGTTCTGCTGAGTGTCATCATCTGCATAAGAAATCCAGTTCCAAGAGTTCTTACTGCATAACAAACATCTGCATGTGGAAGACAGCAGTTATTTCTCCAGTTTGGAACTAGTCTTGGTAACACCAAAATGACAATAAAAGCCAAAGGAAAAGATTAAAATCACGTCAAAAGAGTCTGGTGAATCTGATTCGCTGCACTGCTGCAGTTACTGTGGTTAAAGGGTCATTTCTCATCTATGCATTTTCACACTCATTTATTCATTTTCACAGTCACTGTTCACGTTGAAATTTGACCTCTAAAAATTCCCCAACACAACCTATATTTTCGGTTCTGCTTGTTCATGTAACTCAAATAGCTGCTGGCTACTAAGCGCTCCCTAAACTGACCTGTTGATCAGAAGGGAGCTGCTCCTTCCCTTCCACCACCTCCCAGTCCTCTCCTTGAAAACTTGGTGGGCATCAGACCTAACCTTGCCAGCCGTGTCAGGTTGTGAGCAGGAGGTATGTGAGGTATGACTTGTATCTAGCTGCTGCCCACTGAAAAATACAAATTCTCTAGGATAGAGCAACGTCAAGAAGCCAGAGTGATCAAACAGCACTCAACTTAATTAGCCTGTGTACCAAAGGAAGACAGAAGCCCACATATCGCTGTACCCTCACTGGAGGGGGGAATGCAATGACAACAGCAAAGAAATTCACACAAGGGAAAAGCTGTGTGTGCTAAAAATTAAAAGCACAATAGCAACCTGTCTTGCTAAAAGCAAGTGACCTGTGAAAGGGTGTAACAGCTGTGCATACAGTTCCTAGCACGGACAAATATCTTAAGAGTCAGTGATCCTGATATAAAAGATAAGGAATGAAAAGCCAGAAGGAATAAACAAGCTCAAGCAGGGACTGCTGTATGGGAGCTGCTGATTTCTTCCAGCTGAGGTTTCTGAAAAACTTTCACTGCTCTGTAAGCATGGCCTGCCTGTTTTGCACGGACAGGCACAGCTCTGCTCTGCAGTGAAGCCTCAGTTATAAAAGAGATTTTGATAGACATATTTTACCCCATGACTCCCTGCAAGGAAGCAGCCTTCATATTTCTCAGGCGCTCTGAGGAGACTGGCCAACACAAAGATCACTATCAGTGTGTCCCTGGCCTGCACTTGCCACACACATCTCTGATCAACATCATTTTCGGAGGGAGGCCCTTCTCAGCTCCCACTACCGCTGCCCTTCTCCAAGGGCAGAGAGAGAACCTCAGGACACAACAAACAGCCTTTAGGATATGCTACGTGATGTTTTCTAGAACTGAACAGTCTTGGCATTGCACTGAATATTTATATAAACAGCAACGCGTCAGGATTTGGGAGCAGCATGCAGAGAGCTCCATTTTCACACGACATTGCACAGGCTGCAGACTGCATGCCAAACCAGCTGGGCGGACTTCCTGACCTGCCGACGGGTCAGGTTCTCTCTTTTTCATAAAAGGGCAGATTATTTACTCATTGCTTTGGTAACAAAGCCTATACCCAGAATTAAAAATAGTTACAGCTACAGGTAAAATTTGTAATTTTCAGTACAGCTATTTTTAACTAGAGGAATCACTCCCAAACAATTTTTATAGGAAGTAAAGTAACTGTGTGTTATAGTCAGGCCAAGATCTCAGCTGGCTTAGAAAAACGCTGATATCAATCCCTGAAAATATTCCAGAGGAACTCTAACACAAACCCAAAAAACCATTTCCCATGCAAAGCTTACTGTAACAGAGCTTGTAATTGCCTTCACTGTAGAAGTGGCTCCAGATTCAAAGTTATTTTATAATAACCTGTTGGCTCAGAAAGAGCTTGACCTCCTTTCTTCATAGTTCACAAAAAGAACACCCATGCACGCATCCTCTTGGTACCATTTTGCAATGAGTACCCTTGTACATAAGTGAATAGTTAACTCCTCCAATCCTGCATAGCTGGTTGATCATTTAACTGTAAACATCAGCCCGTCTACCACTTAAGATAATCTGAACCTGGTGAAAGTCACCAGTGCCTTCCGTAGCAACTCATTTATGCTGTATTTGCTATGGCATGAAAAAAACCTCAGTTTGCTTCAAACTTTACGAAAGCCTTCCTCTTACCATAACAGCCAATCTGGCTATTTCAAATAACTTCTTAATTCTTCTAATCAAAATTATAATGGGACTATAACTAGAGCTTGTTGTGCAATACAGGCAAACTTAGTTATGCAGACATGTCACAGTTAACTGACTTGTGAAGAACTGGGTTCATGAGTTACACCAGTAACTTTTTTTTGAAACAAGCAAGCTTGGTGGGTAAACCTGCTAAGAAAAAGGGTACCTATCTCATTTCCATAGAAAGTACGGCGGTGATTCTGCATTTCCTGTGGGAAGAGGGAATGAATGAAACTTTCCACAAACAGCACTGTTCACAAAGTACATCAATAGTTCCTGGTGCAATACACCAACATGACCTTTGTGGGGACAGGGATGGTGTGATTTAAACAAGATTTCCACTGAAACGGTGATTTGTGAGAAAGAACATAATTAAATACAGCTCATGAGTCAGACTTGGTGAAATCTAGAAGACCCAAAAGAAAGCACAGCTATGACCAGAAAAAAGGGACTTTCTAGAACAACGGCACCTTCCCACACAACACTTCCTGAACCCTATCCTTGGGCCCCAGACAACTTTGCTATATGAGAAGGTATTTTACACAGCCCACATACAGCCTGGTTAGAGCTGAAGTGCCTGCACTTAAGGGAAGGCACAGAGCTCTTCCCTTGTGTACCCTGAACTGTCTGTATATCCCCAAACAGGAAAGAAAAGACATGATGGTGTTCTCCCTCCTCCAGGCAATGGCTAAGCTCACCTCCACTGCAGGAAAGAAAAGCTGAAGACAGACCTTGGGACAAGAGTGTGAGAATTTTGTACCATCTTCCACGAAGGATGCATGTCAGAGTGCATGTTGCTCCTCTGCAGCATGCACCACATTTTTCTGTAAAGCGTACATCTCTAGTTTTACTAGAGATTCAGTATTCAGACTCACTCATTTTGCAGCTTCCTAAGAAGACAATACAAAGAGGCATCAACTGCCTGCAGCAAGAGAAAAGAACTGCCACTGGCCCACACGGTCGAGGAACAGGGCCAACCACCACCTATTCCACATAACAACACAGACTGTCTGATGCAGATTAATTAGACTGAGAAATCATCTGACATGAAGTTGTGCAAGTTTCAACTTTCTAAACTAGAAGTGATGCCCTTTCTTATGGTTGATTCATGACTCAAAGAGGGGAGAGGGGGGACAGCAGGAAAGAAAGAAAAGAGAAGTCTTCCAGGTTGTGCGCTGTAACAGGGAATAAAAGGTAAAGTCTGTTGTTACTTGCAAAATGGCTCATTTTTTGATGGGCAATTACATTCCTTACTAAGTAGAAATTTAGACAATGTATGCTGTGGGCCCAGTGGATATTCCATTTGATTAGCAGATGAAGTTGTTATACATTTTCAGAGTCCATTAGAATGAACTTGCCAGAAATCATCCTAGCAAAACAGAAGCAAATCTGTGTCCTACGGAGTCTGCAGCTATTGTCTACAAGCCTGCACAGTGAAACCAGCTGATCATTTCCCATTATATTCAGCAGATAGAAGTGGATTGGAAAACTATAAATAGTCAAGACTTTACCAAACACCTAAGAAACTGTTTTCTATCTTTTGCAACAGAATTGCACATCTGTGAGTACTCTGGGAGCAGGTGAGAGCTAAAGTCAAGGGAAATGCAGAGCGAAGTAGGTAAACTGAAGAACAGTGTTGGTTATGCTCACTGCATAACCAGTTATCCAGAAAGAAAGTGCACGGAAGGATGGAGATTTTACCTCTCACTTACCCTGGTAAAGCTGAATGAACCTGGGATGTAAGGCAGAGGTGATAATCCCATCTGGCAACTCTCTCAAAAACAATTTCAGCAGACTGGCTGCTGCATACACATCACCATCTTTAACAAGTTCCACCTCTTCTCCACGCTCGTATTGCATACGCAACTGTTCTACCATTTTCATGCTGCCGTTTACCCGGAAGAGGCCTTCCTGCGTCATACCTGTAATTATATATTTCACATGAGATTGATCTGAACTAAGACATCCCAGTGATACAATGAAACAGATATTCCAGTGTGAATGATGCACTCATAGCAATACAATGGAGGGCAATTAATTAATACAACTGCATTTAAAAAGCCGCCACAACAATATTTCCCCCCAGAAACCTCCTCTAGTCAAGTAATTGGATTATGACAATCAACAAACACTAGTGACCGGATCTGGAGCCCTGGGATACTCTTTGAGAACCCAAGAAACTCAGTGGCATTGCTGTAAACTCACACCATGCAGAAGTCTGTTGAGACAGAATCATTTTTCAGTGGTGCATTTCCACAGAAAAGGATCCAGATTCTACAAAACAGTTCTGTTGTTTGGTTTTTGCAGTAGGCTGTTACTTTGTTCAGGACTGCCAAATTTACACACATGACTACTTCCAGCTTCATATTTTAGGCTAACAGCTTCTTAACTGTGACCATCATGAAGCAAAACCATTTGAATACCTGCTGATTGCAGCAGTAACACCATAATGAGCACTGCAACTTTACAGCAGCAGAAAATTTCAGTGAGCAAACGTGTATTTCGGAGAGCACGAAGCCCACAGTATTTCACAATGACAAAGCAAAGGTATCTATCACTTCAGGCCAGACACCCTGCACCCAGTGAAGGAGATGCAGAAAAGAGTTTCCATGGAGGAAGACAGATGAATCATACTGCATCAAACCACTTTCTAGGAATATGCTGAGATTCAAAACCTTCAGTTAAGTGCCTAAAGCTGAACTCAATAAATTAATTCTTCTCTAGAACACTTTCACCACAGAAGTTCTGCCTTTTCTAATACTGTGTCTATAGACCTGCTTATTCTTCTTCAGAAGCATAACAATGAAAGGATCAAAACATGTATGGTTTTCATCAGTTCAGAGTAGCCATCGCTAAACAGCAGCCTGATAGAATGCTCCCAGTCCAAGAAAGCAATACTGATGGAGCTGAGTTTGTAGGGAGAAATAATCTCGTTTATTGGACCAGGAGACAAACGGATCTACTAGGGAAAAAAACGTGGACTAGCACTCAAGTGTTTTACTTGACTAATATAAGACACCGCTTACAAATCCTGCATTCCTGGTTTCACGACAAAACACATTCGGATGTGGCATGCTGTTACTGCCATCTTGGGGCAGCAGCAAACACCACAGCTCAATGATTTTCATTTCTGCAGCCCTGAGCAAAGGACAGCCCCCACACAGATCAACCTTCCTTTGCTCCTCATCAGTCTTTTATGGAAATAAAGAGAGGCTGGAACATACTGGTAACAGTAATCAGATACGACTAAATTCAGTACAGGAAAACTTGGCTTCATCTATAAATTTGAAAATAGGCAGCTTAATGGAAACTTCGTGCAAGCATGTGGCTGCCCAACAGTCCGCTCAGCTTTTTCAAACGGGTACTCAGTTCCTCATGAGCTAGAGGAGAGACTCTGAAATGGTCCAGCTTTAAAAAGCCCCATAATGCCTCTTACAACACCTTTGTGGAATAGGACTTATAAGACAATATAACCAAGATTCACAAAATACTGCCTCCAAATAGTCTGGATTCATACCTGGGCCTCTTAAGTGTTTTCACAGTTAACTTTACCATTAATTCACAAAACAAACCTTAGGCAAGCACAGGACATCCATTTCAAGAATTTCCCATGTTAGCGGGCATCTTTGAGATCTTGTGTGCACTTTTAAGAACGGGAATGGATTGTATCTTTATCGGGGCTAGATGATCACCTTGGTGTTCAGAAGCCTAGCTAATCTTGCTACAGAGTAGAGGACTTTGCTTGTTTAGTTCGTCTTAGGGAAAAAAATCATGTGGGATTCAGATCTTTATATGGAACACAGAGCACAGCCCACAGCTTGCAGTCAAGAAGTTTTGTCTGCTTCTGGTTTTGCTTAAACCTAAATGATCCAAAAACTTTTTCCATCCTTGCTCTTTCAGTGTTCTAGCAGACATTTAAGGCAAGTTGAAGGAGATCAAGCAAGATGCTGCTGTATAAATGTAGGATCATGTTTTAAATTTGCAATGTACCTTAATCCAAGCTAACTTTCAAGCCATGTTTGCATCTATCAGCTTCTAAGGGTTTGTTAAGATACAGGCATGGAATTTAAGGCTCTCCAATTGGATTATCATTACTGAGTAGCTAAAAGAAAACCCTTAGAGTGAAACAAGATGTAGCTTCTTACAAGATGAAATTACATCTGTAAAATCTTTTCCATTGCTGCACAACGGCCATAGGATGCCATCTGTGCACCAATGCTCTAGATTTCTGCAAATACATGTATTTCAACAACAGGAACTGAAGTCCCGTTAAATGATGGCAAAGAGAAGCTAAGAATTGGACACCTACTTCCGTGAGGGTATTAATAATAACTAGAATCTATCTGAAAACCTGTAAGAACATGCATTCCTCTTCAGTAATATACTCTGATGGGGTTTGCGTGCCTGTAAATATCTCTATATAGATTTTTATTCTTCTCAATGTCAGAAAGTGTTAAAGACCTTTTGCAACTAGGAAATGACACAAACCTTCACAAATGGAATACATTCCATTTATAAACTGAACAACTTATTACGAGAGTGTGCTGCTTCATAACACCATAGTTTACCTTTATAAACAACCTACTAAAAAGCAACTTCAGCATTAAGGCAGAAAAAAAACCAAACAAACACATACAGTAATATTCTTTGCAGGTGGTTAGTGCCTCAACCTTATTCAGCCCGTGTACCACAAAAAACAGGATAGATCACTCCCTTTGAAGAGTCTTACATAGAGTGCTACAAAGCAAAAGTGACTCCATTAAGCTTACCATGCTGGGTGAGGTACTCTACTATATTCCACACAACTATTGGGATGCCGTTCTTGCAGAGTGCTAAAAAGCAAAAGTGACTCCATTAAGCAGCTTACCATGCTGGGTGAGGTACTCTACTATATTCCACACAACTATTGGGATGCCGTTCTTGCTCAGCCCCTGCTCCTGGAGCTCCAGAAGACTCACACCAAACACCTTTGGAGAGCTCAAGCCCCTCTGCTTGTTCAGTGGAAGAGAGGCTACCTTTTTCATGTCCTCCTTCAATCTCACAGCCGACTGGCTTTGCTTAAGGGAGCAGAAGGGGTGGAGAAGCAACATCAGTCACATTTGCTGCAGCAGGTTGCACAGTTACAACGTGAACATATACATCAAAATAATTTTTTATGCTCCAGAATAAGGTTTTAGTCTTAATTTTAATCCACAGGAAAATCTATGGTGAAATAGGAAAATAAAAATTAACAGGGAAAAAAATAGAGGAGTAACTAACAGGAAAAGAGTGTCTGGTCTGTAGTTAAGATCAGGGAGAAAGACTCATTTTGTAAGATTGTTACTAGAGTAACAAATAATGGGGACTGGCAGGAGACTGCTTTGGTAACTCACCCTGTTCAGATGGGTTACAAAAACAACTGGACAAACACAGACATGAAAAATCCCAATACCCCACACCATTGGTTCAGGTTGTCCCCAGGATGCCTGTCAGAGTATGGAAGATACTCTGGGAAAGGTTCAATGCACCCTTCTAACAGATGGTGTTCCCTAGGGATTCATTTTGGCCACTGTCAGGTGAGATAGATCATTATGAAAGGTTTTATGTTATGCTTAGTATCTAGTAAGTCTGAAATTTAATTTCTCAGGTTTGTGACCTTATAAATATTAATGATAAATGGTACACGTATCAGTGTTTGAACTAAAATTTGACTGACATTAAAATATCACATCTTTTAAAAAGAGATGTTCCCATCCACTATTAAGTGAATAATATATGATTTTTCACTCTAGGTAGACACATGCCAAGGCAAAAAATCATATAGCCTGTGTTAAATTCAGAAGACAGCAAAAATCCTTTGAGCAGTTTCTGAGCAGCTGTGATGCTTAGAGAGCTTTTCCAATTACAGCCTCCAATTAGCTTCACTATCTTACTCAGTTACAGGTTTCCAGCCTGTTTCCGTTTCAGCATTCGAAAACGTGAGTCATGGAGCTGGATTTACTTGGGGAAACAAGATTTAAATCTGCAAGAGAACCAAGAGACATTTCCCAAGTCCACAGGAACGGAAGAGGCAATTTTTGAGCTTGTTTCAGGATCTGGAAAGGATGCGCTAACTAGGAATAAATAGTTATGCAGAGTTACCCAAAATATACATCTAACCAAACTCAAAATGAAAGCAGCCCTTCAAACCAGCTCCGAAACAAAGAGTTCAAAGTCATAGGATCTTAGAGATGGAAGATCTGGTTTTACACAGGGAAAAGTTGCCCAAATATTAATGCAACTGTTACTGAATACCAAGGCTGGAAAAAGCAACTTAATCATCTCCGCACGGTACCGCCACGATGTGCCGCCCAGAGAACACGACTGGAGTTGAGGAAAGCTACTTATATGCCACAGGAACGCGCTTTTCCAGCTCATCCAACCTTAACGCTGAGCACGATGCAGCGCAGTTGCTCACTAGCAACTTTGCTTAACACTGATTAAAAAAAAAAAAAGAGAGAGAGAGAGAGAAGAAAAAAGCCTGGAATCGCCTTTATTCATCTCCACTTTTCCCAAAGGAGCAGCAGCTGCCGAAAGGGGAGAAAGAGAGCGCTCGGGACGAAAAGGCGCCAGGCCCAGGCCGGCCTCTCCCCCCCACCCTCCCCGCCCCGTAAGGGAGCCCGGCGGAGGGCAGCGGCAC